TAAACATAATATAGAAATATATCATATAGAAGTACGATATAATACGTAAAATTAAAATTTATATTTGTTTAATTTAAGATAATATGATATATATGTGTATATATAAATATATATATACATATATAAATGTTATTTTTGTAGTCCATATTTTACAGAGTCTAAAATTTCTCATTTTAAGTGCAACTTGTTTATACGCAACTATTCTAACGAACTTGGCCGCCTTTTTCAGAAACAATTATCCATTAATAACGATATATTATAAAAATTGTTCTTGATTTTTTAATATCTAATATTTAATAAATGTATTTTTGGAAAACTTACCACAGTTCCCTTAACCGTATCATCCTAAAAAAAAAATAATTCCGTTTATATTATAACTAAAACATATGCGCAAGATGTTTCCGATTAATAATTTTAAAAAATATGAGATGAAGGGACAGAGAAAATTTTCCGTATTTTGCTAAATCGGAAAAACGCATTTAACTACAACGCTATAGAGGTATCTACAAAAATTGCTTATATACAATTGATTACTCATAAATTGAATAACTTTGAAATTAAGACACATTGAATATTAATTTAATCCTTAAATAACATAATTATATTACATTAAATTAACACTCGAATATTTAGTTACCTTGTATGTGCAAATATATATACTCCTCACTTTTTAAATTTAATAAATATGCATTACTTGTAAAAAAAATAGGAAGTATTATTTTAGAGCTAATAAATATTTAAAAAAGGATAATTAAAAATACATGTTCTAAGTCTTCAGATTTAAAGTAATAAACTAATTACAATTAACAACAAAATGTGAAGTAGTTTCTGTAAGTGAAACAATGGTTATGCTGTAAGCATACAGTTTTATTCCCTTTTGTGTATTTCAGAAATAAATAAACATAATATAGAAATATATCATATAGAAGTACGATATAATACGTAGAATTAAAATTTATATTTGTTTAATTTAAGATAATATGATATATATGTGTATTTAAATATATATATACATATATATATGTTATTTTTGTAGTCCATATTTTAGAGAGTCTAATAATTTCTCATTTTAAGTGCAACTTGTTTTTACGCAACTATTCTAACGAACTTGGCCGCCTTTTTCAGAAACAATTATCCGTTAATAACGATATATTATAAAAATTGTTCTTGATTTTTTAATATCTAATATTTAATAAATGTATTTTTGGAAAACTTACCACAATTTCCTTAAACTGATTTATCTATAAAAAAAAATAATTCCGTTTATATTATAACTAAAACATATACGCATGATATTTCCGATTAAAAAATATGAGATGAAGGGACAGAGAAAATTTTCCACATTTTGCTAAATCCGAAAAATCCATTTTAACTACAACACTATAGTGGTTTAACTACTAAAATTGTTTATATACATTTGCTTACTCATAAATTGTATAATTTTGAAATTAAGACACATCGAATATTAATTTAATCCTTAAATAACATAATTATATTACGTTAAAGTAACACTCGAATATTTAGTTACCTTGTATGTGCAAATATATATACTCCTCACTTTTTAAATTTAATAAATATGCGTTACTTGTAAAAAAAATAGTAATTATTATTTTAGAGCTAATAAATATTTAAAAAAGGATAATTAAAAATACATGTTCTAAGTTTTCAGAT